TTTCTCTTGGGTGTTCATCGCGAAATCAGAAAAAAAACTCGAGACTGTGTGGCTTTGACCATTTGTGGGATTGCGTCGATAAATCAACGACTGCAGTACGGTTGAGCGTTGACGAAAAAGCGTTTTATGTGCAATTGGCGTTTTATGTGAGACGATCGAGAGAGATTGCTCATGATAGCGCTGATTTATTTGGTGACACTTAATAGAAGTTTATCGAATTCATCCGCATAATTACTTTCGTCTGCTGTCACATTTGTGGTCGATTGTGTGTTTGTGTGCTTTTTTGTGGTACAGTGGGATTGGCTGGCTTATCGTGTATTTTGATGCATTACCAATTGATAATAGCATTACTTTGTTATTCGTCTCATCTTCTCAGAAAGACGCTTTTTTTGAGGTGTTCACAGAGGATATCTATCGCTCGTCAATCAGACGATGTTAATTCATGACATTCGCCTTTTTTCATTTGCTTATCGTCATTGAATGTAATTGACTGTCGAGAATGCAAATGTCACATAAGCAGATAAACGGATATGTTCAATTGAATGCACTTATTAAGTGATTATCAGTATTTTTGTGCTCGGTTGAACTGTAAAAAGAATAAATTGTTGCAGTGTATCCATAAAGGAGTCAGAGCCACTAACGCACAATCTCCAAAATCCGGCTCGTGTGGTGCGTCTACAACTGAAAACTCTTCAAATGCCAGAGAATAGTCGTTATAAACCGTTGAAGTCACTTTCGCAAGGTGGCATCATTATGTTAAGGGACAAGAGAGCCGGTCAAGAGAAGGTTAATACAGTTATGATTGTTTTTAGTTTGCCATCTTTTGTATCGTTTCAATGAGTCTACGACCGTCTTTCTTGTGATTGATGCATTTTTCGTGACTGTGGTATATGCAAGATGAGGAAAAGGTGTATCAGTGATGACTGTAAAAAGAGTTGTTTGGTTATTTTTGTGTAGTTTTACACTAGTGGTAATTTTGCCGGTATATTACGGCGATATTGAATGTCTGAGTTGATCGTATAATAAGAAAGAGAATTGCTTCAGGAGGAGATAGTAGCTTTGGTGGCAGCTGGTGGTACGAGAGCAAACGATGGCAAAGACTCAACTGAAGAAGCGACACCACATGCACCGTTCGAAATCAATATCGCTTCTTATTAATTGATCTTCATTCAGTCGATAATTTGATATCCTTATAAATGTGTTGTTTTTTGAATAAATTCTTAAAGTGATCCTAGTTGAATGACAAACTCAGAATAGTGCATCATGAAAGCATATCACGATAGTCAGGTAATCAATCCACTGGTGATTGGTTGTCGTAGATATTGTTAGTATGAAATGGATGCCATCACTGTCACTGAAGAAGCCCTCCTGAATAATTAATGGCATAGACTCAAGTGAAGAAGCGGTAACTGAAGTGATTGTAGCACAGCTCTGGTTTTACCACTGGTTGCCTGCCTGTGTTGAGAACTGTCTTGCTGCCGGGTCGTTTGTAGTATGTCAGTTTTCACCGGGACACAAAACACGCCACTGGTGAACTTTCCGGACGAAGCACACAACATTTCAAGCCATTCCCAGCTGTATCTCGTCTTTACACGTTGCAATTTGGTGCAGTTATACAAAAAATGTATTGGTCTTTGCATTCCCACCATATTCAAGTTTTGGACTTGAGTTCTCGAAGGAGTAACGTTAGGAACTGTATGGAAATCAACATTGAAATATTGCATCAGTGCAACGAGTTTAAACCCAAGTTTCCGTTGGTTCGAAATGATCGTTTAGGGCAAACCGGGTTGGAGACTTCGAAATTTCCATCTGTATGAAGTGGTTTCACTTGAATTCTCGATCTGAATAGATTTATCGTAAATGCAAAATCTTGAACGGATGATGATCTGAAGAATGCATCGTTTTTTCCATTATCTTTTTCAAGGGACGTCAAAAGTGGTCTAGTTGATTAAATAT